GAGAGAGAGAGAGAGAGAGAGAGAGAGAGAGAGAGAGAGAGATGCAGGGGGGTGAGGGAGAAATGAGAAATTAGGGATTTAAGGTAAAGTGGGGTGGGGTGAGGTGAGGTGTATATAAATTAATTTTTATAATATTATTATTAATACTAATTAAATATAAAAAACATGTATCTATATCTAAAATATCTTATTTTTGAAAATTAAAACTTGAAATCTGATTTAAATTAAATATAAAAAACCTGTATCTATATCTAAAACTTGTCAGAACTTTCATGCTCCGAGGGTTAATGAGGATACTATTAAATTGCGATTGTTCCATTACACATTGAGAGATGCTGCATTAGGAGGAGTTGACTAGAAAATTCTGTACCAAATTCTTCCCATTGGTCAAGGCAGCAAAGATCAGATTGGAGATCTAAACTTTCCAGCAGAAGGATGGGGAAAGCTATCACGAGGCATGCAACAGATTCAAGAAACTCATGAGAAAATGTCCAAACCATGGAATTGCTACAGGACATCAAGTGCAGTATTTCTACACCGGACTCACACCAATGTCAAAATCTCAATTGGATGCATCTGCAGGTGGGTCAATAATTGGAAAATCAGTGCAATAATGCATGGATCTGTTTGAGTTAATTGCCAATACACACTCAATGTTCTCATCCGAAATAGTGGTACCACAGAAAGTAGCAGGGATGTGCGAAATAGACAGTACAACATCCACCAACGCGTGAATATCAACATTAACAAAGCAGGTGGAGTTGCTTGTGAAATTGCAAACACATGGAGCAAATACAATGATGGTCAGTTCAGCATGTGAGAATTGTGGGAGAAATCATGCTACAGAAAACTGCTCGGTGCTTACTTCTTCAGATGAACAAGTAAACTTTATTCAAAATGGCTCCCGTAATTTCAACACATATGGGAATAATTTCCAGCAAGAGAGAAGACTAAGGTTGGGGAAAATGTTTCATCAATATGTGCAAAAGATAGACAAAGTATTCCAACAGATTGATACTAATTTTCAAAATTAGCAAGCATCTATCAAGAAGTTGGAGACACGGATTGGTCAGATAGTTCAACAGCTTGCAGAACGTCCACATGGATCATTACCAAGCAATACAATGACAAATTTTAAGGAGCAGGTGATGGCAATAAGAGTTGTGGAAAATGATCCACACAGGGCTCCGGTAACAGTTAAAGCGTATGCACCACCACTTCCATTCCCCCAAAGACTTCGAAAAAAGTCGATGGAGCAAAATATTCAAGCTAGAACTATAAGGAGTGGGGTGCAATTACCAGAGATTACTGCTGAAAAACCAGAAAGGAAAGATGAGCAGAAAAAACAGTCACGGCGTATGTGCTTCCCATTCATTTTCCTCAAAAGCTCAAGAAGAACAGCCAGGACATGAATTTTGAAAAGGTTCTCAATGTTCTCAAATTGCCTCCCAAATTGAAAGATCCAAGGAGTTTTATTTTACCAATTTCAATTGGAAACTCTTGTTCTATTAGTGCATTGTGTGACACAGGTGCTAGTGTAAATCTAATGCCATATTCTGTTTACAGGAAATTGAGACTGGGTAAAGTCAAATCAACATCAATAACGCCGCAACTAGCTGATAGAACAATTTCAAAGCCACGTGGCAAAGTTGAGGATGTACTCATAAAAGCAAGAAATTTGATATTCCCTGTGGACTTCATTGTGCTGGACATACTAGAAGATCGAGACATTCCAGTTATATTGGGCCGACCATTCTTAGCAACGAGACGAACACTAATCGATATGGAGAAGGGTGAGCTAATACTGAGGGTGGAGGGAGGACAAGCAAGACATATTCAATATGAACAACCTCCCAACATCAAAAGTTGTTGTAGAATTGATGAAGAAGATCTCCCGGATCAACGAAGCTGTCAGAAAAAAAATTAAATTGTGGTTGACTTCTTGGTAGGAATGAAAATGGAAACATCAAAATATGGAGAGCAAAGAAATGGTGCATAAATGAGAACTTCACAAAGTGCAAGGATGGATTAACTTGGTTTGAGCCACCATGATCACTAACGGCAAAAGTCTAGCTAATGACTTTAAAAAAAAAAAGCGCTTCTTGGGAGGCAATCCAAACTTT